TTTCTTTCTTTCTTTCTTTCTTTCTTTCTTTCTTTCTTTCTTTCTTTCTTTCTTTCTTTCATGGTGCTAGGGATAGAACCCAGGTCACATTCTTGGCAAGAGTTCTACCACTGAGTAACATCCTCAGCCTCCCAAAATTGTTTGCATATAATTTTGAAGGCTAAAGGTCCAAGATCAAAGTGTCAGCAGAGCTGGTTTCATTCTGAGACCTCTCTCCTAGGTTTGTAAATGACTATCTCTCCCCTCCACCTCCCCTTCCATCCTCAGGGTTTTCCCTCTATGTGTGTCTCTGCCCTAATGGCCTCTTCTTAGAAGGACATTAATTTAGGGGTCAGCCATACGATCTCATTTTACCTTCATTACTTCCTTCAAGACCCCAGTTCCAAATTCAAAGGCATCTTCAGAGGCATAGGGGGTTGGCGCTGGACTTCATCACATAAAGGTCAAGGGGAAACAATCCAGTCTGTGACAGAGACTGCCACAACAATCCCACCAGAAGGTGATATGGCTGTGTATGGAAGCTTTGGCAGGGCACCTGGGGAGCAGGGAATCCTAGAACATTACAGAGCAAGAACCAAAAGGACGGGGGAATGCATTCCACGTGGCAAATTAAAAGAGCAAAGCACGATTCTCAGCACAGCCCAGCACTCTAATATTTCTGTTTCTGTCTCCTTTTTCCTGAGTCTAAGATAAAATCTCTCCCACAGCATAAATTCATACCCATAATGTAATACTGTATTAGATTTGTTTGGGGGATAGAAGCATGAAGAACACAGTTATTAAATATTTCCCATTTCATTCCCCAAATGTCTGCCGGGTTTTGTATTAGAGTGACTGACTAATATCTGTGTCATTGCTCTTCAGGTTTGGAGGGAGATGTTGAGTGTTACGGGAATGCACGACTTGTCGGAGCCATCTTCATTCTGCTCAAAGGGCAGAACTCCAGTGGTTTCCAAGGACAGAGGTTGGTGAGCAGTCTCACTGGGGGCAATGGCTTAAACAGATTTGACGCTTTTGGAGGCCGTATTTTTCAGGCCTTTTAAAGACATTTTAAAGACCAGTTTCAGGGTCAGCGAGATGGCTCAGAAGGTAAAAGTTTGCTGTGTAAGCCTGATGATCCGAGGATCAAACCCGGAAGCTATGGTGGAAATAGAGAACCGACCCCTGAAAGTTTTCCTCAGACCTTCACACATGTGCCATGGCAATCATGTGTCTGTACATGCACACACACACACACACACACACACACACACACACACACACACACACACACACAGTGATGATGATGACAATGATGATGAAATGATGCGCTCCAGTCCCTGCCTTTAACTTACAAGATAGCCAAAACAGCCAATAATTTCTAGGAATGGGAATTCTAGCCAAATATTGCCAATATTAAAAAAAAATTCACTAAGTAGTTTAAGTAGATGAAAAAAGTAATCAAAGGACATTGTGCTTATTGGCCTCTAGTCTGCAGACTCCAGAAAGCAGCTAACTGAATGAAAAGAAACCCATGTGACTATCAGAGTTGGGACTGAAAACCCACAGGGTGATGTACCCTCCAAGCACAGACCTCTGGGCTAGTTTGGGCCTTGACAGACCTGGATACCAAGGACACTAACAACTAAGATGGCCATGGAATGAAGAGGATATCTTGGTAACTCCCTGAAAAGTTTTTCCACACTGTCACAAGCAAGGACCCATCTTTGCTGAACTGTGCGGAATTCTTCTTGATGCAAGTGTTCCTTCGCTTAAAAGCAGTACATTCTTTCTGGTTTAACTACAATAGAAAATCACTTGGGAGAACTTGGATTCTTTTCCCTTTGTCTCCTGAAGGTTGACACATTGCTCAGCCCTTGGCTTTTCCATCAGTTAAGTATCTTGGCCAAAGTTCAAGCACTGTATGCCATCTTTGTCCCTTTTTAGTGCTTTTAATCTCCTCCCATGACTTCTTCCTCTTCACCCACACTTGCAGTCTACCTCTTTCCAATGATTTTTCCCTTGACTCATCAACTTAAATTGCTTAATATTCAACTTCATTGTAGAACCAGAGGCTTGGCCAGAATTATCTTTTCAAGTAACAGCTCCTTGAAAAGCAGGAAGGAGTTTGACTCCCCAGGGCTCCTAGCACACTTCCTGATTATGGCATCCAATGTGGAACCCGTCCTGAATGGCACGTAGAGCCTCAGCTGCAGCTGGACCTGGCCTACTACTTCTTGTTTATGCACTGCTCAGAAGTTACTAATGTACCCTTTCTCTTTATATCTGATTATTCCGCTGCAGTTGAAGTCCATCATATACTCTGCTTACAGTACATTTTTTGCAGAAATATCCCAGATCATTCCTTCCTTGTATCCAGGCCCCTTTGCTATGTGGCTTCTAGTTTCTCCCATAGAGATAGTTTATTTCTCCATCCCTGGAGTGAGACTAGTCACATGACCTACTTTGCTCAGTAAATTGTAGTGGAAGTGTCGCTGTGTCATTTCCAAATGTAAGCATGAAAAGGTATTGTGGATTTCTGTTCTCTCTCTCAGAACTCTGTCCAGTAACCATGTAAAATCTTAAGTTTGATTGCTAGATAGTAAAAGACCACATGGCCAAGTCATCCCTGTGACCCTTGTTGCTCTGATGCATGGTTCCTTAGCTGGCCCATAGCTAATTATAGATGCATGAAGAAAACAGTTGATCCACCCCCGAATTGCTGATTTGAAGAATCACATGGCTTGTTCCATAGAAACTGTTAACTAACAACACCACTAAAATGTTCAGATATTTTGAAGAATGTAAGGAACTTGCAGCCAATCAGCGACTTCTAAAATTTTTGATATTATTTTGGTGTTATAAACTCACAGCAGTAAGAGATGGGAACATAAAATAAAAACTGTACAGCTGGATCACGGATACACATCCTCACAAGTCAAAAAACGATTGTGTTCCAGGAGTGAAATTAGAGAGACGCAGAGGGAGCCTGATCTGTGCAAAAGCAAGGAGTTAAAAAGTTCATCTGAGGCAAAATATGAAAACCAATTTACTACTTGAGGCTATGGGTGGGTGGGGGAAAATCTCCTGTTTCTTGTAGCTTATAAAAGGGCTTAAAAATAATCGTTAGGTACAATCACTAGGAATCCAATCAGGTATTCTCCATCACCCTACCAACTTCGCTAAAACTGATTATCAGTTCTCACACCTCAGTTTACTAACCAGGACCTGATGGACTGATTCTATTGGACTTCGTTTTTCGCTGTGAAAGCCTGGGACTATATTCTGGTTTCCTATGAAACTCATGAGCTGCTTTGTCTTTTCCTTTCAGATGGTCACTCCTCTTCTCAGAATGGTAATCTTCTCCATCCTTCACTCGTGTAGTGATATCACCCATGCTCACGGCTTTAAACATTATCTGCAATCAGCTCTGTCCAACATGCAGCCTACAAGCTGTATGTCTCTCAAGATAGTAATGAATACGGCAACACATCCGGAGGTAATATGTTTTATTGTAGTGTCAAAATATGCGACACTCCTGATCTATCAGCTGATTCCCACTACAATCTCAAGCTCAGAAGTCTCTTCCAAACTTCCAATATGTGAAAAAAAAACAGCAAAACATGATATGCAAATAGGCAGACATTAAATAAGCTTACTGACTGTGAAAAGAAAAAAATTTGAAATATTTGAAATAAAAAGTACAGTTGTTTAAATAAAAATTCTGGTAGGCAGGATAAAACTGTGCACAATTAAAGAAAGAATGAAGTGTAAAATAATCTCAAGGAAGTTACCCCTACATAGCCAAAGATACAGTGAGTTAAAAATATGAAAATAGCCAAGGAATGTAAGTTGATTGAATTGCATGCTAAATAAGATTTCTCTATAAGCATATATTGATGGAATCAAACTAAAGCCCCCCAGGTTAAAGTAGATTTAACCAAATCCCCCCAGACCAAAGAAGAATATTCAGAACAAGGAAGTAAGAAGTAAAATAATTCTAACTGCTGAGAAAGAGCTGACCTTTTCATGCTCCGTACACAAGCCGGATATCACCCGAAACTTCCCCCCTCCTACTGCTGCCAGCCCCCTCCCATTGCTGCCAGTTGCTGCCGGCCCCCTTCCCACTGCTGCTGGTTGTGGTTTGTGGTTTTTGCCTTTAAAAATCGCCTGTAAGCTGAGCTCAGGGCTGCTGTCCTCTCTCTCTCCGAGTGAGGCAGGGGCCCGTCTGCGCAAACGATTAAATCCTCTTGCTTATTGCATCTCCTGGTCTGAGGACTGAGTTATTGGGGTGCGGCCTCCCGTGGATGTTGGGTACCCCAGCCTGGGGGGGGGGGTCCTACATTTGGGGGCTCGTCGGGGATTCAGTTGCCCCCAG